ACACCTTGTTTATACTCGTCCGTCAACAACAACTTGTCTTCCCAGCCCACCTGCTCCAATGTTTCAGGGAAGAGGAATTACCCGATAGGGACGAATCACTTCGACCGTATGTGTTCCACCTAATCCAACTCTTGTCGCATAGTTCATGGCGTTTTTCTTTTTGGCAAAATCTATACTTTTCAATCCCACACAACGCAATGCAATCATTCTATCCAATATCGGAATATTTTTCATGGGGTGGCTTGTCGTTCTTGGTAGTTCGATACACGGGACCATGAACCCGATGAAATATTACCCATAACGTGGCTGGCGGTGACTCATTGGGTATGTCCGCACCCCACTTTATTCTGAGTTTCTTATTATTGGCGCCGGTTCCACTCACTGGCAGTTTATCATAATTACATACCTCCACCATACAGATCCGCAACTGCCTCACTTCCGCCAAGGCGAATGGTTGTTTCAACGGTGGGCTGCGTGCACAGTAGATGGTGGTATTCTTGGATGACAAGGACGTTTCATCTTACATGATGTTTCCCATTATCATGTCGTGCATCACTTCTTCCCTCAAATGCCCTTCTATAAGCTTGGCTTCGAATCACTGTTGCGATCAAGATCACGGCGCAGAGACGACGGCGGATTTTAAGGCCCTTATTGGCGAGTACTACTTATTCCCCGGTATTCAAAACACTATGGGAGAATTAACAGTTGCCAATTTATTGAAGATCAAGGTAAAAACCATTTTTCTTAGAGGATTTGGTTATACCAACTCAGCTTTATTTGATAGAGGGTAGTGTATTTTACAAGGAAACACGAAGTTAAGCTCGTCGTCGACCAGCTGCTCAATACCGACCGCACCGGATAAATTCAAAATAACTTATTGAAGCTGTTTCATTGTTTCAGGCCCCATTTTATCGTCATTGTTGTCGACCATTCCTATCTCGACCATCTTCATACACTTTTCCTCGATGGTTTTCCTCAACAGTCATCTTAGGACTGCGGTCCACTTATTCACCTTGTTTTAGAAAATCTCAGAGCCTAAACTGATATATTTGACACAATGCTGTCATAACTATGCTTATGAGCTTTCCATCACTTCTCTGACTTCTATCCGTGCTGGTACTCCTGGTACGCAAACAAGATATGACCATTGCTTACACGGCGCTAAGGTTCAAATTCTTAATCTCGGAATATATTTTGAAATTTATGGAAAATATGGAGTTTATTTGAGAATATTCAAATACCCAAGGGTGTGTCGCAATTTTCTTTTACACTGGAGGCATCCCAAGGTTTTTGGAGTTTGAAAGCCTTCTGAAAATCCTCATATTTGGCTAAATTTTCTAAGAATTCTTTGCTGATAAATTGTTTAAAATTTTAAAATTTTAGTAGGATTTTCCTAAGTAGAAAATCATATCTAAAAATCGTAATAATTTTGTATCAAATCTCAGGCATCCTCATTCATTCAAGAGTCTATGCCCTCCATGCAGGATGATAGGTTAGAAGCCAAAGACGTCAGTTTCGGGGAGGGGTGCGTCAGGGGCGAAAGGTGGAACGTCCTCCTCCTTTCCATTGAAGCCTATGCATATGTAAAATTCCCATAGTCCAATTAGTGGTATTTGACATCTAATTGTGCGAAAGCAAGACGTACCATGGGCGCGGTCAATGTGTACCCCCGCCACCTTCCTGGCCAGATACTGATCAAACCAACTAGGATTTGTCCTGTATGGCTTTCGACGTTGAATGAACCAGCGACCCTTATGGTGTACAGGAAATTCCAATGGAATCGCATCCGCGCCCTAATAAACGAGGTTAGATGTTGTTGGATAATTCCTTTTAGCAGTTTGCAAAATTTATATTCATACCTCATATATCCATATCCCCCAATAACCAAATCTATTAGCATCTTCACCATTACCAGGATCCTCATACCAATGGCCGTAAATGCCCCAAGGGAGCATATGCCCGGCAGCATGATAGATACCCCCTTCATCGTCAGTATAGCGTTTAACCATCTCGACATACGTCTTTTTATAAGATCCGCTATTTATATTCCAGTTCAGTAGCTCACAAAACGAATGCATAATAAAATTAATATACGTGATGACGAAATCTCCGCCGTAGTCCCCTCCAAAACCGGTGAGGTCCCCGTTCGGCAAAAAATCCAACTGCATGCCTAGATATAATGATCAATAAAGTCTGGTGTGTGAGCAACAAAATTGTATATGAAACTAACGAAGAAACGAATGAGCCAACTTTGGTTGAGGAAATGGTATAATCTCGGTGGGTTTTTCAGAGGTGACCCGCGCATATTGGCCCATAACATAGACCCGGCCATTCCATATTTGTTGAACTGTACGGGACCATGCCCCCGGACGGATTGCCCCTTTGTCATCTTCCCAGATGTCTTTCCCAATAGGTGGAGGGGGATACAGCCTTCGTTCTACTTGTGCGCTTCGGTGCTAAGATAATGTGATATCAGTTCAACATGCTGTGTGTGAATGAATAAGTGTATACAAATTACATGATCGGGGTGGGCGTATGCATCAATATACAAGATGCTACATGCACAAAGGAATGTGTATGTTAACGACCGCTTTGAACTCTTCCTGTACAGGAATGGCTTCCGCTTCATTTCTTCTATGAGTCGCTTGGTATCCGAAACACAACTATTGAGAGGATATACGTGGACTCGGAAGTCAAATGTCCCTGAAATTGGCATTAAAAAAGGTGGCAAATTTGTGTAAAGAAGATCTTACTTATGAATACAAATGACGCTGAGATCATCGCCTGAAGCCACCTATAATACTCATTCTCCTCGGTATCGTGAAGTTGGATACACAACACCTCCGCGTACATAAAATCGTCTAAATGGCCGATCAGCTACCATTATGAGTTTTCAAGAGATGATGATACAGACACATGATCAAGTTGTTTGACTCTGAGAAGGCTATTATGAAATAACTCAAAGGTATAGAACAAATCGGACAAACCATGCTCCGTGAGGATATCAAACATGACTTGGATATAATATCGTCCCCTAGCCTGGCTCTCCGGACTATGCTTGATTTCTTCTTCTGTGGGCCTTGGCTGCCAATCCACATAATAATCATCGGCGTTATAGGTGAGGAAGGTGTGGGGGAGTATCTTCTTCTTGCGCACTTGTGACGAGATATTGGAGTCGGGGAATTCTGCTTTACCAACGGCCGATTTAACAAGTAATCCCCATCCATCAGGACCATACTTCTGTTCCGGGGATGCAGCTGCATGTTTGACTTTCTTGTACAGAATGCCCGTATCGTAGCCAAGCAGGTGGTGGTGCTCAAGCCAAACATTTACCGTTCGCAGTAATCTCGCGTATCTCTTGCAAGTCGAGGACAGCTTTAGGAGATCGAGCGGCTCAACACACCAAGTTCCCAGCCGCTCGATGGCTTCGTCAGGTAAGTACGACAACATGGCTGGGGGACGGAGGGCTGATATCCACCTCATATCTTCGGCACTGAGCTCGTTGTCAGTTGTTTGTGAGATTTCGATGGAGCTAAACCTCGGTGGAATCCTCGAGTAGGGCCAATCGGCGGGCATATCGACCACAACTGGCGCATTGAAATCTGGCTCGAACATCAATAAAGCGTTGATTGCTACTCTTGCTTCAGATGCGAAGGAATGGGGGAGTTAGGTAACATTTTAAAGAGAAAGCCAATGAGGAAGGCACAGCGCCCTCATGTTAACCGTCTGGTCGCCTCGCGACTTCTTATCTGGCACTAGTCGCTTCTTACTGGCACACCTCTTATGGAGTCGCGTTCGCTTAATCACATACGTGGATTGCTTAAACAAGGCTATTGAGTTACAGGGTTGGGTATTTAAAACACATAGCATTAGGGTGTCAGTTTAGACATTACTATATATGACGACCAGGATTGATTTATGTAGTTCTACTGAGCAGCGTCTTCCATAGCGGTGCAAACAAACGCGGCCTTACTTTCTCTCCGAGGAACAAATCACTTCATACACAAACTCAGAAAGGAGTTATTTCCGTCGAAATAAAGAAATATTCCCATCATTATACAATCTACACTGCTCACTCAAAATAGCATGCCACAGTGGGTCTTCGGGGGAGGTTCAAAAATCCATCCATCGTTTGCAACGACTTCACCCCTCACTCACATTTCTCATGGACATCTGGAGAATAATCCACCATCAGGCCCACGCTGAAAATGATGTGGAGTGTGTATTTTCCATTCGACTTCCACTTTATTCGAGAATGGATGACTGATGACATGTTTGATTGTGGCGGTAGGTCTTCAAGTCTTCAAGTAGTAAAAGAGACCCGGATGGAGTGGAGGAAGACATTCAGACGGCGAAGCTTTATATCAGATATCACCTTTTAAGCATACTCAATCATTTTTTATTCGCAGACTGGAGGAGGGACGTGCTGTTTTGGGCGGAACATTGGGGAGTCATTCTCCGCGCATGGGTAGCACGGGGACATCCAATATGAACGACTCACCGTTTTCTCCCCGTGTTCGCACATGTCCCTAGCGGGCCATCGATGCTCCCGCACTTCAATGGCTCTGAGTACAGACATTGGTAATATTGTAATATTTAGGACAAAAATTCATGCTAACTTGAAACTTTCCTTTCCTTACGTCCCTTTAGTTCTAGCCAACGCTCGCAGAGATCGGACGGTTTTTATTCAACAGCAATGCCTACCTACTCAAATCCGTGGGCGCCATCAGGTTAGTTCTATCCTCATTAGCCGCAATCTGAGTCAGATATTTAGAGCAGAGATCAACTAAATTTGTTTTGTAGATCATGAAGAGCTTGATCATCATGGCAAATCTACAAAGATAGAATCCTGGTAAATTCCATTTGCCAATAATCAAAGACTTTCATTGATGAAAACATGGCATATTGCACTGCAATTTCTGGGAAAAATCTCACATGAGTGAACCACAGATCACACCCCCCCAATTGAGAGCACCCCATGTTCAAATGGGGAAAGTGAATGGCCAGAACTGGGAATTGAACCCAGGGTCTTCTGCATACATATATAGCAAGGGTGTTACCACTACACCACATGACCTTGGGTAGGTCTAGACTTACACTGTACTTAAGGATGTAACTGTTGAATTTTAGGCTCTTGCAGTTGGACCAATGGCTACCCAACACCGTATACGGATACACCACCCCGTATACGGTTATACCAAGCCGCATTATCCCCTGCCTAATATACCACGACTCACTACCATCAACTACGTAATTTAGATATTTTACTATTTAGCCTCGAACGTTTCGATACCCATACCTCAGTCGAATCACTATCTGTGTCGACTGAGGTACGTCACTACGAACTATTTCTCGTCTTCGTATTCTTATCTTGATGTAATGTAGCGTGTTTCTTACAGGTAGTAAATCTTAGTCGAATCACTATCTGTGTCGACTGAGCGTGTTTCTTACAGTAACCTTAAGCACCATTCCTATTAGATTATATACACACTGAACTCAGAGCTAGATACATAGGATAGTTGGAACAGTGGTTGGTATTACATAATCTAACACCCTGATCATCTATTTGATGGAAATGCCTTCACATGCCAGGGGAGTTTTATATAGTGAGAATTGTCATGTTTTCATAAATATATATGTACTGACTAACAAATTTATTATCAAACTCACATCTCCACTCCAGCTTCTCTGACCATAAAAAAAGGAACATGACAAACCCATGGGTCAATGTCTGCCTCTTAACAGAGATGGGTACTAATCTAGCCAATTCCAGCTCAATTGTGCAGTCCTCCAACACTTGTGCAACTCTGCCAGCATGCACTCCCTTGTCTGGTCTAGAAGTTAACTTGGGTTGATCAACCAACTGTTCCTTGAAAGGGACTTTTGCTGATTGAGAAGGTTAAGGGTTGTAATTCCTTGAAGGAACTAGCTGGGATAAATCCTGGCCTCCCCAGGAGGATCAGTCTTGAGCCTAATGGTTGATCCCTCGGGATGCTGATGTTAAGATCTAAGCTAAAAAGGAGGAGGGGGGCACTAGTTGGGGTGGCTGATGATAGTAACTAAGTCAATTGGGGGGCCAACAATAGAGATCATACTAGTTGGGAGGTCCAACTCTATAAAATGTAGTGGAGCTTGGCTTCAGCTTACAGTGGGTCACAAAACTGCCCCAATGTTTGTGTATTTTAGAAAGATTGATATTGTGTGAAGGAATGACATCAGTGAAAATTCTGAAAAATTCACATGATATACTAGAACATGTTGGCTATCTACCAACTTCAGAAATCATGTGATTCCAATCAAAACTCATTGCTCAATAAATCAAACAAAATAATTACTCATTGGGGCAGTTTTTTGACCCTCTATTATTTTACAATCTAATACTTTGTATGATCCCTCTTTGCCTTTAAAACTGCCTGTATTCTCCTAGGCATGCTTTCGATTAGCTTCTGGCATGTCTCTGGTGGTATTTCAGTCCATCCTTTGCCACCCTGTCCCATAATTTATGTACTCCTTTGGGTGGTATGTCATATTGTTGGAGTTTGGCCTTGAGGGTTGCCAGAGGTGTTCAATGGGATTTAGATCAGGGGATTGGGCAGGCCACTTCATGGGAATGATGTTATTGTCAGAAAACCACTGGTCTGCCTTTTTTGAGGTATGTTTTGGATCATTGTCCTGTTGGAAGTACCACTTATCCTCAGCCATCTCCAAACTTTCAATGCTCTCCTCCACTCCCTCCTCCAAAACCTCACAATACTGCACTGCATCCATGTTCCCCTACACCTCTATCAGCTTCCCCATCCCATTCCAGCCCATACACCCCCAAACCATCAAGTTATTCTCCCCTCCATGTTTGACAGTTGGTGTGGTGGTCCTGTCTGATACTGGCTTTCCTGTCTGATACTGGCTTTCCTGTCTGATACTGGCTCTCCTGTCTGATACTGGCTCTCCTGTCTGATACTGGCTCTCCTGTCTGATACTGGCTCTCCTGTCTGATACTGGCTCTCCTGTCTGATACTGGCCCCCCTTGTTGCTTCCAAACATGTACCTTCCCATCTGACCCAATTCTATTCATTTTTGTCTCATCAGTCCACAACACCCTCTTCCAGTCCTCCATAGTCCAATTTTCATGGTATTGGGCAAACTTTAGATGTTGCTGACAATGAGACCCCTTGAGCATAGGGCCTTTCTCCTTTGTTGCTGACCTAAAGCCAGCTTCCTTCAACACATTCCTAACAGTCTGAGGAGTGACAGAGGTAGATATGATGAAATTTATAAATTGGGTGGCCTGGACAGCATTGTCAAGCTTCCCAGAGCTGATTTGATGGATAATTGACTGTTCATTATAAGGGGAAAGCTTGGAAGGATGGCCACCAGGATGATTTTCCTTATCCCCCTCTACCACCCTACTGATCCTGCCAATAGTACCCTTCCCCAGGCCAGTCCTAGCTTGAATTTGACGATGGGAATACCCCTCATTGAGGAGAGAAACAACAGAAGAATGCTTTTCAGCAGAGATGGATTTCATAGTGGTGGTAAGGAGTCAAGGAGATGAATGAACAAAGTTCAACATGCCAAATTGATACAAATAAGGTCACAATGACATATTGATGATTCACATGACCCACTCCTACCTTATACTGGTGTGTAACATTGAAAATCAGAGAAATAATAGAGGGTGTAAGGGAGTGAGACTCCCTACACTGTGATTTGGTAATAATTAGTTCTATTGTTGTCCACATCCTATTGTAGTCCACATCCTATTGTAGTCCACATCCTATTGTAGTCCACATCCTATTGTTGTCCACATCCTATTGTTGTCCACATCCCATTGTAGTCCACATCCCATTGTTGCTCACATCCCATTGTTCTCCACTAGTATATATTATGTACATGTGGATTTCAATACAGTAGTGGTTTATTCCTCATCACTCATTCTAGTGTCTGTCTGCGCCTGCAGCAGATACTAGTCTTACAAGGGTCAAAAAACTGCCCCAATGAGTGATTATGTTGTTTAATTTATTGAGCAATGAGTTCTGATTGGAATCACATGATTTCTTAAGTTGGTAGATAGCCAACATGTTCTAGTATATCATGTGAAATGTTCAGAAGTTTTGCTGATGTCATTCCTTCACACAATATCAATCTTTCTAAAATGCACAAACATTGGGGCAGTTTTTTGACCCTCTGTATGTGTTGTGCCCTCATACAGTACAAACTGTTAGGGTGCTCTGTTATTTCAACAGAGTGGATAGTACAATAGAAGAAGAGATCAACACTTCACCTCAATCGACTGGAGGACCAAATTACTAAGAGGCATGAGGTAAAGGGTTGTAGCTTGCTGAAGACACCTTTGAGGGTATTAGAATAGGAGTAATAGGACTGAGGACTAGAAGGGGGTAATCTAAGTCAATTTTTAAACTGAGGAAACTGTAGCATACATCAGAGAACTTTATGTTGGAATTGGTGATGAAACCACCCTTTTTCCTAGGGGTGGTTCACCCATTTCCTCACTTTTTCATAGGAGGATGCTAATTGTGGACCACATTTTCTGAGGTTAATGCATGCCAGAACCAGTGTACACCTAAACTAGCATCCTATCTATCATGTCAGAAGGTGATTCACTAACTGACACATTGACAAACAAGTATTATTATTACAAGTTTATTACCCACTTGTAGATTGTGTATTACAATAAGCCAACTCATACTATTTTTAAGACTTTATACTACAGAGAGACAGATGATCAGAGGGCTGATCAGAGAAGCAAGAGTGATGATGGGTCAGAAAGAAGTGGGGGAAGGAAACAGGGATGTAAATGAGACTAAATACAACATAGCAAGTATACTAAAAGGTGTGAGGTGGCAAATGAGATATATATATGGAATGGAGATGGGGGAGCAAGTGGAATGGAGATGGGGGAGCAAGTGGAATGGAGATGGGAGAGCAAGTGGAATGGAGATGGGGGAGCAAGTGGAATGGAGATGGGGGAGCAAGTGGAATGGAGATGGGGGAGCAAGTGGAATGGAGATGGGGGAGCAAGTGGAATGGAGATGGGGGAGCAAGTGGAATGGAGATGGGGGAGCAAGTGGAATGGAGATGGGGGAGCAAGTGGAATGGAGATGGGGGAGCAAGTGGAATGGAGATGGGATGGAAGGCTGAGGTGCTGGAATACAATGAAAACAAGTGTCAGGGGCACTGCAGGTGGTGCTACCATGGGTGGGGTACCAATAGTAGGACAACAAAGAACAAAGGGTTATGAGACTAAAAACAGCTTGTGGGGGTCCAGAATGATGGGGATCCTAACAGCTGACCTCATAATTGACATGGAAATCTTCCCCCAAAAGGATTGGCACTGTCATCCCCCTGTAACATACATCTCCACAGTGAATTTTAACAATGTTCCATTTTCATCCTCAAGATAGACTGGAACATTAATGTATCCTAGAACTTTATTTCCAGTGAGTTGGATAAGACACTGCTTAAGACCCCTGCTTCAACTTGGGCTGATCCTTTAATCCCTTGTAGAATTCCTCTGAGATTAAGGAGAGATTGGCTTCTGCATCCAGTCTTATTTTGATGCATTCAGAGGAGTCTTGTTAGGATCCTGTCATTTCAGACCCCCATGACCTGTTTTAGGCCCAAAGTCCACTGTCAACTCACTGTCAGAACCCCCACCCTAAGTATTACCCCTCGTGGCACCCCTGACACTTGTTTGTTATGGTAGTTGACTCTTTGTTTTTATTCTGTCCCCATCTTACTCACCCTCCTATTACTGTTCCCTTTACACATCTCACTTGCCACCTCAGTGTTTGAATAATCTGCTATCCTGGTGATCACAGTACAAGGACTCTCTACTGTTGGAGCATAGCCACTAAGAGTAGAGTGGGTAGATGCCAAACCAGTGATATAACTAGGCTTTCAGATGAGGAGTAGATCCCTCATCTGAACTAACTATATACTAGAATACATGGTCTGTGCACTGGTCTGTGCACGAATGTGCTACAAATCTAGTGAACACTAAACTAAATATAACAATCACATGTGTGAACCAGTTGGAACCTATACAGTCACAAGATG